TCTGTCGTGTGATAGGGGACCGGGCAGAGGACAAGGGATGGGGACTATGGATAGGGACAGGAACAAGTGCAGGACACAAGGACCACGGTGGGAACAGGGGACAGGAGCAGGGGACAGGGACTGGGACGAGGGACACAGATGGAGGCTAGGACAAAGTCTAGGACAGGGACCAGGGCAGGGGACAGGGACTGGGGACCAGGACATGGGACAGGGACCAGGACTGGGGCAGAGAACAGGGAAAGGCACTGGGACAAACAGGAGACAGGGACTAGGACTGGACTGGGAGCAGGGCAGCAACAGGGGACAGGATGGTGATGGGGACCAGGACAAGGGGCAGGGGACAGGAACTGGGGCAGGGGACAGGGATGGAGATGGGGATCAGGGCTGGGGACAGGGAGGCGGACCAGGACAGCAAACAGGAATTGGGGCAGGGGACAGGGACACAAATGGGGACCGGGGCAGGGGACAGGGACTGGGGCAGGGGACAGGGATCAGGCAAGGGGACAGGGACAGGGATGGGGATCAGGACAGGGAACAGGGACTGGGGCAGGGGACAGGGATCAGGCAAGGGGACAGGGACAGGGATGGGGATCAGGACAGGGAACAGGGATTGGGGCAGGGGACAGGGATCAGGCAAGGGGACAGGGACAGCGAGGGGGACCAGGACAGGGAACAAGAATTGGGGTAGGGGACAGGGATACAAATGGGGAACAGGGCAGGGGACAGGGATGGGGATCAGGACAGTAAACAGGAATTGGGGCAGGGACAGGAATCAGGGAAAGGGACAGGGATCGAGGCAGGGGACAGGGAGGGGGACCAGGAAAGGGACAAGGATCAGGGAAGGGGACAGACAGGGATGGGGCCGGGGGCCGGGCTCACCCTTGTCCAGCTTGCTGTGCTTCTCGAGGAAGGCGAACCAGTCGTGGCTGGTGGCGATGGCCTCGCTCTTCTCGCTGGGGATGTCCTCCTTGCACGCCGACTTCAGCTGCTCCAGGTCCTCGGCCGTGATGTTCTGGGCCAGCTCCTCCAGCAGTCTGCGGTACTCGGCCATCTCTGGGCAGGGACACACGCGTGACGAGCTGCCTGGGCCTCAGCCCCCTGCAGCCGGGCCCACGTGCCGCCCCGCGTGCCCGGCCCGGCGCGCGCGCCCGGACGCCGCTGGCCCCTGACTCA